ATGAAGATGTGATGTGCACCTTCAGTCCCTGCAATGTCAATGTTTACGGCGTAAACACACGGGTCATTTACAAATTTACGCGCAAAATAGTTTTTGCGTTTTAATGCGTAAGAGCGGGTAAAAACACACGAATACAGGCCTTGTGCGCATAAAGGCAGTATTGCAGACTCAGGGAGTCCGAGGAGTGGCAGCTAGACAGGCTGGAATGGGCAGAAAACAACCTTTGTTCGGCGACGTCGTTGCCCTTAGCAAGGTCGAGGTGGACATCGTGCTGCGAATGCTCGAAAGGGGGGAGGACTTATCACTGTTTGCGACTCCATCATGTGAGCTGTGTATCTCAACGCGCGATAAAAGTACGCAACCATGGCCGTCTCTGTGTTTACACGTTTTTAGGCATAAATACGTAAACGCAAAGAACAATCCTGAGTCACTGATCATATTTGGCTCATTATACAGTCAATCGATTTTTCAAAAGCATGGCGACAGCAAGGGAGGATGGGATACCGCTCCCCCACAGTTTGGAAGCTGCATATTCCGAACATGATATACTACATGTAGTACAAATGCAAAAGTGATTTGAGCATCAGTGCATTCCAAATTTGCGTTTGTGAACATGTGCAGCTTTTTCTATCAAGAAAACAGGGTTGGTGATGCCCATGCGTTGCCCCTCTGTTTCTAAGCACAACCGCGATTGCCATGCCAGCCACTCCTGAATTTGTACAGAGTTGTAGTTTTGCGATGTGAATGCAGACGTGGTACAACATCATTGCTGACGATGGGGCACAAGCGTCAGAGATTTCGCGTGTGTCCAATATCTCATAGCTTTGTTTTGCTTTCTACAGAACATCTTCACACTGTAATGTAGTATCGGAACTTGTCACCAGGAAAAAAAGGGCCAAATAACACGTGTTCAAACGTGTAAAAAGCTTACGGGTTTGGGTCATTTTTGTGTTCTTAGCGTTCAGAACTTTGATGAAATGTGTTTTAGGTGTGTTTGCAAAAGTGAGTTTGGTCCTTTTTCTGCTAGTGTGTTGTAAGACCTGAGCGGGCACAAACCAGTACACCATGCTGTACTCCAATGGCCATTGAATATGCAAATCGGCATGTTAGCTTCATTGTAACAGATTTCAAAGCAGAATTACACGTGCGAATTCCATACGCTAAATAAGTAAATGTGCGAAAGAGCTAATACTACATTTACCTCGATTTAACACGCTTTTGGCGATAACATAGCAAACCAAGGATAGGAACGTTCCCATCCACCTTCTTGTTAATTACAGGGAAAAGAAAAGGGAGAAGGAGAAATGGGAAGGTGTCTGCATGACCAGCTGTGTCTCATTTCACAAGGGCGTCCCATTTCCAAGGGGCTTTCGTGGCTGTGAGGATGGCACAGGGATTGCCTCCTGAGGCACACCATCAATGGCATCCCCCCACTGTGTTCTTCAGCAAAAGTCAAAGGTAAACGTCAGCCAACGCAAGTCCGCCCACAGGGCGCGACACCGTTTCGTTGCTCCGGCAACTGAGGTTGCACTGTCGCGCCCGCACAGAAGCAGTGCAAAATGGGAGCGATGCCCGGGGAAACGAAGCTGTAATCATGCCGCCCCTTTCAGCTGAACACATGACGGGCATGGAGGCCACCGCTCCTGGATAGCCACAGTGCGAAACTGCGCACCTGGGTCCGCGGACGTCTACAGAACCGCTTGAACGTGCCGCGCTAACTGGGCGCCGCTCCCGTGGATTCAAGACACCTCTGCCGATGGGCACCACTCGTGAAACCTAAATCACTGGGGTGTGGGTCCAGGGGATGCGTCAGCTCGTTGGGCAGTGGCGGGGCATCCGTGCCCCTTGGAAGGACGCGCCCTGTGAGGTGGTGGCCTTGATGTTTCTGCTGGGCCTGTGGCGCCCTGCAACGCTTCCGGCATCCAATCCAGGCAGCATCAGACGCTGAAAACAAGGAGGGGGGCACGGAGTGTGTGGGAGCCGGACTCCGGCTCGCTCCAGCCCAAGGCCTCGACTGTGAGGCCCTACTCCGGGCAACGCCGGACCAGCGACATCCAACCGTCGCCCCCTCGCCCCAACGCGAGGCACCACAGGGCCTGGGCTCGACGTGCATCTCCATTGGCCCTCCAGCCGCCCCAGAGACCGACCCGCCACCATGACTGAAGATCGCCGGGGCCTTGACTGAAGCCGCCGCCGGCAACGTAAGCCGCTAGTGGCTACCGCTGTGTATCTTGCCCGGACAGTGGACAGCCATGCGGGGCTTTTCTGTACAAGTCTGGTTTCGGACTGCCGATGGTAAAATGTCCTCGTCAGCCGGGAAGGCACATCATGGGACACAGGTGGGGGTGCGCGGCTGAGGCGGCTGACGTGCGCCGCGCCGACCGCCCCATCCCGTCGTGGGTCCACGGGGCGGCCGCGACCAGGGCTTCCGGCTGGCTGGTCCCGTCAGGCTGCGGTGTATTGCCGGACCGTTCGCGCTCGAGAACGGCAAATGTCGCCTCCTTGTCGGGCGGCACAGCTCTTGCAAAGCCTCGCGCCGCTACAAAATCAGAAGAACTGGCCGCGGCGACGACTGTGGGCGAATCTGGTGCGCGCCCGCACCAACAGCGGGCGCCCATCGCCGCCATCTCTGCGAGATTTGCAGCAGCAGGTCGACCTGGATGGCCCAAGCCGAGGTTGAACCCGCCTTTCGGGGACAGCCGCGGTTCAGCCCCAGATCTCCTACCACCCCGCGACCGTGGGCTTGCCGCACAGCGGCCTTCTGTGCGCTTCGGAATGGACGCGCGCGAGCCTTCAGCCCACGGGACGGCGCAAAGCGCGGCCGCGCGCGCCGATCAGCTCCGTCGGCGGGGAAAGATTTCACCTGATCCGGTGCACCAGTCCGCTACCACGTGATCCACGAGCTCCGTGCTCTGGGCCAACAGGCCTGCCGCTCGAGGTGGCAGGCGTCGCGGCAGCGCTCCCCGCTCACCAACCTCAGCACCAAAACCGCCAGCCGCACGATTGCACAGCAAACGCAGCCGCGCACTGCCGGGCGCGCAAAAGGCATGAAGCGTGCCGCATGACTACCCCCGGATTATCCGCGAACCTCGATAGATCGCCGCATTCGTGCGCGCCCCCTGGGCCCCATCAGCCCCTCCCTCCGCGGCTTGCGCGATCCGCAGCACGGCCACGAGCGGCCTGCAGGGGCCCCACAGATCGCGTCGGCTTGCGCCCCTCCATACATGCCTCCCGTACGTATCCCCACGTGCGAATCCCCGCATACTTAGCGCCGCACTCGGCATCCTTCCCCTCCCAAAGCCGGCACAGCGGGGATCTCAGGGAGACACGGACGCGGTGCACATCCACCTAAGGTGGCTGGGAGCGCGGTGCATGAGGGCCCAGCGGTAAGGGCGCGCTTCCTGAGCGCCACTCTGAGTTCACACTCCCCCCGGACTTCTTGAGCCTTCGCAGTGGCTCCCGCGCTGCCGCGGTTTGGACTGGAGCGGGGCAGCCGGCCTCCGGTGCTGTGTGCCGCGGCTTTTCAATCCCTGGTCGCGGCCACCACACGCGGAGAGGGGTTGGGAAGTTGGGCAACTAGTCTCTGGTGCTGCGCACCGCGTCAAGGACGCCAATTGCGCTCCTGATCGGCCGTGGCGAGGGGCGGGACTGGCCATCAGAGACTGCAGAGGAGGAGGGCTGAGAGCGTGCGGAGCGCCACTGGTCGCCTGGCATCAGCGCTGGGCTGGCTGGAGCAGAGCTCGCGGCCGAAAGGGGGATGCCCGACCGACGGGAAACGGCTGAGTTCCGGCGCAGCCCGGTGGCGACGCCAGGGAACTTGGTTGCGGGTGCTGCAGGCTTGATTCGGACTTTTTTCCAACAGTGCGTCGAGTCGCGTGCGTGAATGAATCCGACAGCGCTGCATCGCCGCCTCTTCGGCCAATGCATCCGCCGATTGGCGATGCCCAGCGCCCGTCGCCGGCCGCTCGCTCCCTAGGTTGATTATTACAACAGCCCTCTTCGGAATTCCTGGCCCTGGAATTTGGATCATAGCTGGGGCGTGCGCCGCCCGCGCGGGGCCGTCCAGCCCCCGCCGCAACTCCGCGATCCAGGCAAACTGCACGGAGTGTTTGAGGCGCGCCTGCACACTGACACGCCCCTCCAATCAAAGAGGCTACGTCGAAAATTGAAAAGGCGGCGTTGCGAATCTTGATTGATCGCGACGGGGAGGGGGGCGGGGGCAGCGCTGCAGCCACTTCGCCCCTTCCGCCAACATTCCGCGTCGCAAGGCGCCGCTGCGACCGATTACGTGGTCGCTCTGCCGGTCGATCAAGTCTACTGGGGTCCGCGACGCGAACCGGGGGACAAGCGCCGGTCCGCGAGCACCCCAGCGAGTCCCGCGCGCTTGCCTCGACGGCCGCCACTCCTTTGCGGAGCCTCGCAGCTTCGGTCGCCGCTTGCGCACCGTTTGGTCAGCCCGTGATGCTCCCGCCCTTTGCCAAACGCGCAGCCAATCAGGACCGCTGCCCTCGGCGGAAAGCCCAACCACCAAAAACCCAAAGCACCAGAGATGTTTGCGGCCATTCTGCGAACTTCTTGGGTGGGGGCAGTCATGCGGCGCTTCTGCCGATGTTTTGGAGGGTCAGTAATGGCTCCGTCAGCCGCGGGTGCGGCTTCGCGACCCCACCACAGCAAGCTTGCTGACCACACTTAAGTGTGGTCGCGGCCCCCTTTCGGGGGCGCGTTACCGTCACCATACCGTTGTAGTGGTCCAGCAAGGCGGCGCACGTCGTCTATTACGAGGTTCAGAGGGAACTAGTGTGGGGCGCAGCACGCAGGCTGCACGCCACCCGTCCCCTTCGCCTCAAACGCGGGACCGCAGCTAAATATAGCCTGGTGGTGGGCGGGCGCAGACCCGCCGCCGCTCCACGGCGCAGGCCTAGCTACCCGGAGCCGGCCCAACGCGCGGACGGCTCGCGCGATTTGCCTTTCGGTGTGCCGTGGGGGTTTCGGTTTCCGAGATGTCTGGGCAGCCCGGCCCGAGCGGGCAGGATTCTGAGGGCTCCGGGCGGGCGACCCCCCTGGGCTGGGTGGCACAGCCGGGGGCCGGTCGGGGCCAGCTGCCGGCGAGCGCCCCGGTCAATGCCCCGGTCCACGCCTCGCCGTACGACACGGAGGGTTTGCACGGCGCCAGGCCCGCGCGCGACATGGACGGCCTCAAGGCCGCCATTCACGTGGCGAGGGCGGGGAGGATGGTGCCCGGGAGGGGGGTTACCGAAGCGAGGTTCGCCATAGAGACAGCTTCATTCCAGCTGCGGGAGGCGGCGTTCACGGCGCTGATTAACCTGTGTGGCCGGCTGCGCGACGCGCCCAAGGCCTTCGAGGTGTTCGAGGCGATGCGGGACTACGGCAGCGTGACGCCCAACACGTACACCTACTCGTCTCTGATCTCGGCCTGCGTGAGTTCAGGCGACTGGGCGGCGGCCATGGATGTCTTCGCGGGGATGAAGGAGGCAGCCGCGAGGGACGCTGGCTGCAGGCCCAACGAGGTGACCTACAGCGCGCTCATCACGGCGTGCGAGCGGGAGGGCAAGTCGGAGATCGCCATGGGGCTGTACGACGAGATGCTGGGGGCGGGCATCCTGCCGGACAAGGTGACATTCTGCTCCGCGCTGACGGCGTGCTTGAAGAGCAATATGTGGGAGCGGGCGGAGGAGATCGTGGAGGACATGCACGGCCGGGGGATGTGCGCCACGTCCAACATATACCTGGAGCTGCTGCAGGGCTACGGGCGGCGCGCGGAGTGGAGCAAGGGGCTCGATCTCTTCCTGACGATGCAGGTGGGTGGGGTTGGGGGGCCATGCCGTCACGTGTTTGTCGGCGGTGTGCTGGTGCGTGGCGTTTGTCGAGGCATGATGCGAGTGCGTTAAACGGAGCCGTCGGGTGAGTGATTCGAGCTGGCTTCTAATTCTGGCAGTCTCTCGAAGGCGGCGTGAATTTGACTCTTGACTCCTTGAGTGAAGTCAGCTGGGACCGACAAGCTGTTGCAATAAAATGAAACTGGTGCTGGAATATGCCGTACCGCTCCTGTCAGCTTGCCATGTGAATTGACGGCGTGTACTTAAATGTACATCACGTACTTAAATGTACGTTCCTATGCGCACGTGTGCTCGAATACAAGGACGCCCACATAGGCTCATGTTCGGGTCATCCGAACAGAGTCAAGTTGCACATTGTCACTGACGCCTTGCCAGCTCGACTCCTCTTTGCGCACGCCCAGCACTGCGCCCGCCCATTCCACAGGAAGGGCGACAACGCAGTCGAACAAACGGTCGCTCTTGGCCCATGCTGACTGTATGTTTCCCACGCAGTGTCCACCTTTTGACGAGCTTGAGCACCGGCGCCGTTCGATCTCTACACATGGCGCGTTTTCAATTTTCAAATTTTTCTCGTCTTTCTTGAAAACGGCACGTTGATGCTTGGCAACTGACGCCACCCGCATCCAAGAAGAACCCGATTGCACCTAAACGGCGTGCCGAATTGCTGCATGGCGTGGTGGAAGCATCGCATTGAGAAACCGCTGCACTGCTGTTCTCGTGCACAATATGGGGCTGGTGGCCTTGGCGTGATGCCGCCCCATGGCCATTCTGCCAGAGTATGTACCATTCACTGTTTCGCCATCTAGTTTACCTGATGCACTGTCACCAGCTATTCACCGATTGTCTTTGTATGGCACAGATGATGGGGCGGGATGTGGACAAGCACTGCTGCCGGGCGCTCATGACCGCCTTCGAGGCGGGTGGCCGCCACCAAATGGCGCTCCAGCTGCTGGAGGCCATGGAGAATAAAGTCGCCGCCGACCTGCCGACTTACACGTCCGCCCTCAGGACGATGGCTGCGGCGGGTAGGTGGCGCGAGGCGTCCGGCGTAATGAGCTTGATCTTGGAAAGCGGGCTGCGTCCTGATGAGGAGGCAGTGGGGGTGGCCGTGAGGGCGTGCGTGGAAGCTGGGCAGAAGGAAGAGGCCAGGAAAGTGGTGGCCGCCCTGGAAGCTGCGGGGGTGGTCGTCGGCGATGACGTCAAGGCGTCCGCAGAATGAGCTGAACGCAATGGGGCGCACGTGTCGTTTTGGAGATTCAAACGTTTCTGGGGGTGGGGGCGGGGTCGTGGGGACGTTTGCCAACTTGGAGTCGCAGTTTTTATTCGGGGATTTGTTTGGGGAGCATTCAACCTGGGGGAAATAAGTCCAGATACCTGGTGCATTGCCCGGCAGCCCCCCCTGCCGGACGCCAAATCGACTTTGGAAATTTTCCCTTAGATTGGGATTGCACCGCGTCGCAATTCAGAGCCGACACGGAAACGGCGTGGAATGATGCCTCTCAAGAACATTTTGTGGCAGTGAGACTCAAGGCCTTTTTTGCTTTGTTGCAAGCCTGAAAGGAAGTTCCTTTGCCAGCGAGCCGAAATGCTCGTTGCGGGTACAATGTTTGGATCGGCGTTTCGAGAGCTGGCCATGAGGGCCCTACAATTCATGAGGTTGTAAAGCATATTGTGTTATATTTTTGTAAAGTACCTTGTCAGAAACACGTGCGGGTTTCCCTTGGGAGGCGTTGGGTCTGGCATTCTCCAAGCGCATCCTGATAATTTGCCAATCTAGCGTCGTCTGATGGCGCATCAGATTCCGGCAATCCTGAGCGTGGTCAATTATCGCCAAAGGTCAACGCCTTGTCTTTGGCACCACCAAGACCTATGCTCCACTCCACACCCTAGTGCACCTGTGTCTGCGTCTGTAAAGATCCCCATAACGTGGATATGGCCGAGGATATGGCCGTATCCCAAGATAGGGGCGGCCACATCCTGGGTATTTACATCCAGAACATGCAACCTTTTCCCGACTGGGGCAGGACCGGTGGGTCTCTGCCTCGTCTGCATGTGTTTGCCCAAGCTGCGGATACCACGGGCACCAGTAGGCGCCTATACGAGCAACACCGCAAGGAGTTGTCCCCTCTGCGTCTGATGCGAACCTCCCCAAATTCCTTAGCGGCAAATTTGCCTTCAAAGGGCACAGCGGGTCCCCAGACCATGCACGCTAGGACGAGTACATCCACATTTGAAAACGTTTTTCTGTCGGCATCTGCAGTACCCCCGAAAAGTAAGGAGCAAGGCTTGGGCGTTTCCCCGCCTGCCAGGAAAACCGAATAGGTGGTTATCTTCTGCACAAACACCCAGCTCCGCGCTCCCCTCTCGCACCCCTTTCCATTGTTTGCTGAATAATAGACAAACAGCCGGCAGTATCTATGGACCAGATAGAAAGAACTCCCGAAGCGACACTGCACGGCTCTGTATAACCTGACTTTGGATTTTTCTGTGAGACAATTTATCTATGGCAGCTGAAAATGCCGTAGCAACAAACCTGCAGGCGCCGAGCTTTCCACACTGGCCTACAAGAATTGGCCACTTGTATGCTGTCATAATTCCTCTCCGGGATCTGTCGCAGCTTGGGAAACCGCTCCCGGCAAATGAGAGGGTCACAGCAGCAGCGGCCTGGTAGCAACAAAACCCCTCGACTATTGGGAATGCTGCCATTGGAAGATGGACAGGAGTCCACATGAATCCGACCCCAATGTTTTCCCCGTGAAGCGCACGATTCCCGAACGTATGGAAGGACGGATCTGCACTATCCGCGCGCGTCGCAATGGATGAGCCTGGCAACCTGACAGTCACACAAGGTGTCCAACTCAGCGCCCAGCTTCTTAGAAGCAGAGTGAGGTAGAAAACAGGTTACTCAAGTGCCCCGCTTCACCGAGCAACTCCGAGACCATCGCTTCACTTTGGCCCCCTCCCCTTACAGGCTATCTAGAGGCGGGGTATGCCATTTTCCGTGCCCGAAACTCCAGTCGCCCATGAGCAGCATGTCACACCCAAATTTGGCCATCGAACCAGTGCCAGTGGATAGATGGGGCCTTCGAGCAGTCAGCCGCCGTACACTCCCGGTCATCCTCACGAACGCGCACGGGCCGGACCTCTTCACTCACCCGATTCTGCTCAAAGCAACCGCAAGCTCACAGCCGCGGCGGTACACGTTCGAATTGGGTGTGCGCACATCAGTTGGCATCACACATATGTCTTTTTCTACTTGCGATTGCATGGAAAATCCCCGGCATGATAATCACCGTCCCAGGTGTGAAACTTTGCTCCCCCGACTCATCATATGGTTGATGATTTCCCAAGTAACAAACTCGTACAGCGGTCGGTTGCTTCGCTCATGGCCGCTCCCGGCTGTCCCTAGGCCTTCCTCGCCTGCTGCATGTTTCCCGCTTTCGCACCTCCGCGTCGCACCTTCTTGCCAAGGGGGCAAGAGCACGAGGTGCTTGCAGACCTGCTGAGAAGCGAAACCACCTACTCTCCGTCATGCCTATTTTTCCCCAATTGCTGAAGAAGGGTTGCAACTTCGCGAGGCAGGGCCGCGCCTCCCATGCGATGTCATGGCGAAACAGGCAATTCCTCTGGTTTGGGCCAGAAGGGATGGTGGAACCCTTGCTCGCCGTGGCCAAACGCCGGCCCTACCCTCCGGGCTCGGGGTTGACCAGTTTGGCAGCCCCGGTGGGCGGAAATCTCTCAGAAAACATTCACCCCAGTGCCCATTGCGCGTAGTCCCTGGGCCCGACTGCAACAGGACAGCGTCCAACTGTTGGCTGGTCCCCAAGGCACGCTCTGGGACATTGCTGTCCTCCACCAGTCCTGGAGCTCCTTCATTCCAGCGAGCCTCCATGTTTTGATGTGGTACTTTGCCACTTGCGCCGCAATTTTGAAGCCAACGTTGGAGAAAAGCTCGCACGTACAACTGAGTAACTGATGAGCAGCATGACGGCCCCTCCCCGGCGGCCTGCTTGGGCCCGGAAGAGGGATTGAAAAACTGAACAGCCCGGTGTCCTTGAAGGCTTTGATGCGGCTGCACACCCAAAATTGGTTCAAAGATGGCCCCGAGTCACATACATGTCAGTCGACTCTAAATTTTACAGCGCTTCGCTTCACAATCCAGCGTGTATCTGCAACTGCTGAATGGTGTATGATCCCCGTGGCTTTGAAAATTAGGCTGCATTCCCCTGCGATTTCGAGGTGTGCAGCATTGGGAGGTCTCCAGCTCTTTTCTGCACCTGCCATGGTGGTGGACCTGGGCAATCCCACCCGGCAGGGTCATTGGCAATGGTGGGCACTGAAACCCCTCGAGTGTGCAGCAGTGGTGCACTTGCCTCTAGTTTGAACGCTGGCCATCGTCCTCCAAATCGAGCAATGCAAAAATCGCCGGCAATGCTTGACCACCGCGCCCTCAAAACGAATTTGTGAATTTGCATAAGCCGCGAGCTCACATGTTGACCTCGCCGTTCCACTGTGCGACCTCGCATGCGTGCAGTACTGTGAGAGTGCATCCCGTCCTGTTTACTGTGCCCCGAAATCGCGGCTTTGCGCCTGGCTAGACCGTCTTGTGTACTGTGCCCTGGGATTGCGGCTTTGCATCTGGCGCCTCGCTCGGCGGCGGTTGAAAGGCGCTTGATGGGCCGGTGACAGGTGCCTTGACGGGCCGCCGCGGGCCCGTGCCGGCGTGCAGCCGATCCACGAGATAGTGCCGCCTGGGGGGCGGCTCCCAGCATGAGAAGTGAGGGATGCCCGCGCGGTTCCTGCAGGAAGTTCCCACCTTTCGCGGTCGCGCTCCTCGGCCGCGGGGGCCACCCCGCCGACCTCGCGAGCCGGTAAGCGCACCGGCAGGCTCCCGTGCTAATGGTTCGCCAGTGATGGGGCGCCCAGGGCAAGCGGAATCCGTTTTCTCGTTCCCTGCGGACTGTGGATGGCGAGGGCGGAGGAGGCGGAGGATGGCTGCTAGCGAGGGGAGGGTCGCGTCCGGGGCCTTAAAACGATCCTTAGGCTTCTCGGAAGGAATTAGCGCTGCGCTGCGGCCGGCATGTGAGGAAAGCGGCAGGTGGGGTTGTGTGGCTGGGGCTTGGAGTTGGGGGCTGGTCCGCAGAAAGTGGCAGAGTGCCCATTGTGGCAGCATGACGTACAGCGCGCTGGCGTGGCCCGTGGCGAGACCCTCAGACGGCCATCAGTTTTGGACGGTGGAGTCCATGGCAAAAATGCTGAACGCGCTGGCAACGTGGTTGAAGGAGTCGGCGGTTGGCGGCATCCTCATCCGTTACCGAACGCGCGCCGTCTCGCAATGAAGAAGGGGCCCTGAGCGAATGGAGGGCGACGCTCCGGCCGCTCAGCAAGCTGCCAAAACTGTAGTGGTCAGAGCGCTGCTGGGATGGTGGTTGGCCGGTCAAACAACGATTCACAGGGAACACCGCGGCACTGTTTCCCAGCCAACCCAGGATCGCCTCAACTTCTGGGCGAGCCGGTCAGATTGGAAGCGTCGCGCACCTCGCTGCTGCGTCCACGGCTAAACGCCTCCACCGCCCCTCCCCTGCCGGCTTGTCAAACCCTGGCCGGCACAGGCACTTTGGAGGTGCTTGGTTGCCCCACGTCCGCAAAGTACGGCGCGCGGTCGCCGGTATGGCCTTTAAAGTACAGGCAACTCGGATACTACGCCCCTTTGCGCCGAATCGAGAGATATTTGCGCCGTGGCCTCTGGCCCCCCAAGCGTATCGGCCCGCGCAAATGCACACGCCATCGGGGTGAATGGCTGCCCTCCCTGGACGCCGGGCGCGAAAATGGCGCGCGGAGGGTGGCGCAGTCCCAAGGCCCTCCAGGCTTGAGGTGCAGGGAGCGGACGCCACCGCGGCAGCCCAAAACCCAACGTCTGACGCTTGCATCTCCATCGAAACCTTCCAGAGCTTTTGAACGCCGGGCCCTTTTAGTCCATCCCTTGCGTGCAAGTCGAGCGCCGGGACGCCCCACCTCCGTGCCGCTCGGTGCAATTCACCCTGGGGTCATCGACGGCCGACCCATTTGGGGAGAGGACTTGGGTACCTCGGACACTTTGCGAGAGGAGGGTGGGCTGGGTCGTTCTAGACTCACTTCAAAGCGTTTCAAAGTCTCGCCCCGCCCGAGGACGCGGCTCCGTTTGGCCGCAGCGGCGCGCCTCTCCCGGCAGCTCCACAT